ATCTCTCCGTCTTGCAACGCGGGTGTAACAGTCTCTGACTGAAGGAGCTACCGAGTGCTGTCAGGGCTGGCCGGAGGGGGGGGGGGGGACTGTCCAACATAGCTTTTAGCTTAGCTAGCATCCTGCTGTTGCCCACCTCCTCCAGAGTGTCGAGGGAGCAGCCCAGGACAGAACCAGCCTTCCTGACTAGTCGCTCTAATCTCTTCCTATCCCGGGCCGAGATGCTGCCTGACCAGCAGACAATGCCATAATGGATGGCCGATGCCCCCACCGAGTTATAGAAAGTCTTAAGGAGTGACCCCTGAACCCCAAAAGACCTCAGTTTCCTGAGTAGGAAAAGTCTGCTCTGACCTTTCCTAATCAGGGTGTCCGTGTTCGTCGACCAGTCCAGTTTGTTGTTGAGAAGAACACCCAGGTACTTGTAGGAGGTCACCCTCTCTATGTCCATACCCTGGATGTTCATCAGTGCTGGTGAGGACTGTTGCCTGCAGAAATCCACAACCAACTCCTTAGTTTTCCTCGGGTTGATCTGGAGTTGATTCTGCTGGCACCAGTCCACAAAGTCCTTCGTCAGTCGCTTGTACTCCCGATCATCCCCCTCTGTAATGAGGCCAACAATCGCAGAGTCATCGGAGAACTTCTGAAGGTGGCAGTTTGGAGTGGCATGTCTGAAGTCCGAGGTGTAGAGGATGAACAGGAAATTATCAAAAAGCATTACCCCAAAACTAAAAAGGGACATGTCAGGTGCCTTCTTGAGCAGGGGCACTGCAAGATTTCAGTCCATTACCTCACAATGCATAAAAATATTTATGACCTTCTCAACAAACCTTCCTCTGATGGTTTTGTAGCTCATTCCAACTTTGAGCCCATCTCCAATCTTGTTATGGAATCTTTGGACAGCTCTTTACTTTTTACCATGGTGGTGTACAGACTGGAAGTTAAGAAGAGGATTCCTAGCGTAGGTGTGCTTTATAAAGATCAGTTGAGCTCAGGTGTATTGTTAATTGTTTAATTATGCAGAGCGGTGTGCCACATGGGCATCGGATGGATGGATTTGACTCAAATCCAGCCTATTATCATTATCAAGAAGCCTTGAGAAATCAAGACCTTTTTTTTTTGCATTTGTGAGCAGACATAAAATTTCAGCATTACAGTATTTCAACTCGGGCAGTCCACGTTTACATATTGTATCATGCTTCATGAAACAAGGGGATGTGTAGGAAGTGGAAAAGCTACTGATTTGGTTACATTACTGTTGTAACCTGCACTTGAATTTGTGCCTTTACAGTCTGGTATACTTACGGTAAGTTAACTCCAACCCATGTGGCAGAATTATGTTGTCGTGGTGAATAAGTCCCAAACTGCCCGTCAAAATATTTAGTCATTTTCTACCTGCAATTACAGAAAGAAAAAAACTGTCTTCATATACTTATAGTGATGCTTCATTTGCCTTTACCTCACTATTCTACAATGCATAACAGATCTGATAGTTTGTTGCAATGAACATAAATGGTTGAGAAATACATTTGAAAAGTACTTTAAAAAAATGCAAATCAAATCACAATTGAAATTTTTAGGAAATCACAATTAATTATATTCCTGAATTGTTAAAACCTAAATTCAATTAAATTAGTGTTTTTTTTTTTTTTTTAGGGGGGGTGATCAGTCACTCGTCATTGACCTATCCCACTCGTCTTGATTTAAAATGTAATCTACAATTACCGGTAAATGTAAAAGTACTCACAGCATGGCCAAACACGAGTTTAAGTGAATTTGTCGCGTTTCAGTAGAAAATGAAAAGATGGCGGTGCTTTGATGCGAACATGTTTTAAATGTCTCCATTTTCCAACAAACCTAATTCACATGATCAGCTCATCAGCAAGCTCTGCATAAGTATTATAATGATTTTGATCATTTGAATCAGGTGTGTTGGAGGAAGGAGACATCTTAACATGTTGGAGAGGGGCCCTTGAGGACCAGAGTTGGTGACCCCAAAACTATAGTACCGTATATGGATATTTCGTGGCCACATAATAGGCTCACCAGCACTTGCTAGTTAGTCTGTTAGTCAATACAAGACACCCCCCCGACCCCCCCCCAAAAAAAAAACAATGAAAATGGTACAAATCTGGTAATCTCATCGGATTGTGGAAGATTACCTACAACTGCCCACAAAGTAATATGTTTTTTAAAAAAAAACAGGCCTTGCCGTATTTTTAACCTATTGTTTATTGATGGTCACTGGTGTTTTACTCTGTGACATTTTTGAGCAAGAAAATCATTGATGACAGCATTTCGTCTTGAGCAATGATTCATACTGATTTTCGAAAAGAAGTGAAATGTCTATTAACAAAATAGGACATAAGAGAACAGTGCATAAATTGTAGGATGAAACCACATCTAAAAAGATAAGGGAAATCCCATTGAGAGAAAGGGACAGCACAATGGTCAAACCCATTCAATTTCAGATCATTGCTCAGGTCAAAGAAAAGCAACAGAGGAAGAAACACTGACAGATATGGAGTTTTGTCAAAGAGCCTTTTAATTTAAGACAGGCAATATCAATGACAGTGGCAAGCTGCAGCTACTTTAATGTCCCTGTTTACTTCATCTTGGCCACAAAATCTTCACCCTTCTTGATGGAGCCCTTCAGCTCATCAATGGCGTCAGCCACCAGCTTCTCCTCGAAGGGGGACAGCTTGCCGAGCCCGAGGTTTTTCTCAATGCCATTCTTGCCAAGGAGGAGAGGTGTGGAGAAGTACTTGCACTCTGTCTCCTCAGACCTGACAAAGGCACATTCTACCACACCCTCCTTTCCATTCATGGCATCCAAGACGGAAAAGGTGAAGCGCGCGCCAGCGTATGCCATGGAGAGGGTAGCAGAACCAGCTCCAGCCTTGGCCTTCACCACTTCTGTGCCGGCATCCTGGATCCTGAGGGTCAATGCCGACAATTGGTCAGCGGGGAAGTCCACTTTGGGGGTGCACTGGGAAATTAGGGGAATGATGGTCTTCCCCGCGTGACCCCCAATGACAGGCACACTGACACGGGCTGGATCAAGACCTTTCAGCTCAGCCACAAAGGTATTGGCTCTGACAATGTCCAAGGTGGTGACACCAAACACTCTGTTAGGGTTGTATAATCCATGCTTCTTCATGACCTCTGCCGTAATAGGTATGGTGGAGTTGACAGGGTTAGCAATAATGCAGATCATTGCTTCAGGACAGTTGCGAGCACAGGCATCGGCCAACGTGGCTACGATGGTAGCGTTGGTGTTGAAGAGGTCGTCGCGAGTCATGCCGGGCTTTCTGGGCACACCAGCGGGGATGACGACGACTTCGCAGCCCTGCAGTGCAGCATCGAGCTGGTCGGGACCCATGTAGCCGCTGACCTGCGCTCTTGTTTCGATGTGGCTAAGGTCTGCAGCCACCCCAGGAGTGTGAGCGATGTCATAGAGCGAGAGTTGACTCACCAAGGGGCTGTTCTTGAGGAGCAAAGACAGCGGTTGGCCTATTCCACCAGACGCTCCCAGCACCGCCACTTTGGCGTGCTTCTGCGACGAGGTGGACAAGCTCCTGGTGAGGCTGATCGTAGGTCTTACGGCGCGTGAAAACATTTCGCGATTGTTTTATCTTTTCTTCGCCGAGCTTTGGAGTAGCACCCAACAAATCCCTCTCCTCTGTGACACCAACGTCCTCTAGCAGCTCGCGAACAGGAAGAGACGGTCGCTGTCTGCGTTGAGACAAATCTCGCGTTATCCTACGTCACGTCAACTTACTGAAGCGTGCGTTCCTCTGCGTGTCGGAGCTTTTCAAATTAACCTCTAATCGAAACAAAATACGCAACGCATTCTGGACAAGAGTGAAAGGCGAATATCCATTTAAGGTTTTACACGTTAACTGATATGTATCAGTACTTTACCACGTAAAGTAGAACATTCTACACCTAAACACCAGTTACTTTCACACATATTTCAAGTAATTCAGCAATCTTTGTATCTCTTCCGTTTGATTTGACATTTTCGACACTGTATTCAATATTACTGTAGTCGGAAATGGATTTAATTAACTATAACACTGCGTACTTCTCACTTTTGTGCAAAAAAATAATTTGACAATTCCCTAACGTGACGAATAAACGCTTTTATTTTGAGGGCGTTTGTGTTCATTTAGATTTACTGTATTAACTGGAACGTCAACAACTCGGATGTGACGTAATTGATCATTGAAATTCCGAGGTAAATTGAATGCGTCTCTCCACTTTCTTTTTATCTGGTGGAAAACAAACCCAGAAAACGGCGGAACGTATTTGATTGATGTTTGGAATTGGCGCCTCTTGATTTAAATGTAGCTGTTCGGAAGAAGTGGACAACGACATTTATCAGTACGGTATGTACGTAGCAGCTGCCTTGGACTGAGACGCGAAAGGAAAGGTGCTCCTTGTTGTTAATGTCGACCTGCTAAAATAAGCTAGCGCCATCACATGAACCCCGTCTATTTGCTGGAGTCAAATTACTGCCCTTAGCGAGCTAGCCGTAGCAAATAGCAGTTGCGATAGTAGAGTTCACCGTGAACACCAATTTGTTCAAGTTTGTGATTAAGCCATTTTACGCATTTATTTGAACGCCTTTTCTTTGTTCGTTTCTCAATCGTTATTTCATCTAGTGCATTCACACTGTCATCCACCACAGGGAGGTGGATGTAAAATTACAGCGCTATCTCTTTGTTGTTCTGCAGTTGTTAACGTGCGTGAGCTGCTTTTTCAGTGGCTTTAACGTTTGCTTTTTAAGCTGCTTTTTTTCGGTGCAAAGAGGCCACCAGCATCAACGTGGAGCGATTAGCCGACTCTATTGGTGCTCTGCATGTCAGACAATTAACAGAGTGGCCCTTTGTTCCAAACACTCGTTCATGTTAGCAACAGCTGTGTCCACTGTGTCGAAATTCTTTGTAATGTCACGAGTGAAATGCATCTTGTTTATCAAATGCCTAATAAACCTTTACGCCAGGAGATTCTAAATGTATGGTTTGTCTTGACGATGAAAATTCACTTTATATACTTTCTTGTGGACTACTTATAGGTCTAATTTGGAAGGTCCGCCAGCACGTCTCATGATACATGAACATTAAGGCGACTTAAGGTGAGTATGCATATTGTGTTTAAAGCCCCTGTGTTGGTTGAGCTTGTTTCCCATAAGGATATCAGGTTTTCTTTACCTTTTGTTTGTTTTTTTTTTTTGAGGGTGTGCATGGAACATGGGCACTAAGATGTTAGCTTATAGCAGTGCTTCTCAATTAGTTTCTGTCATGCCCCTGTAAGGAAGAAGAAAAGATCTCGCTCCCCCCCCACCCCCTCCTCGCGCGTGCCGATAAATAGTATGATTTGTCTATAAAATTGTTATAAGTACACCTCTGCATAACACTATATTCTTATTAACCTATAAGAGAATAAAAACAAAAAAATATGGACTAACTTAAAACAAAGAATAGCTTTATTAACTATAACATAAAAGATTTAAAGTGCATCTGAATTGCAAAAATAAAATTAAATCCTTAATTAAACCGTAAACATTTTTCACTGTCTATGTCAAACCATACGATACTGAAAAATAAAATTACATAAAATCAATAAATAATGCATTCAAACTGATCACGAACATTAACTAAGGAGCACAACATTTAAAAAAAAAACTTTAACCTGCTAAACAAAAATATAAAATAATTTGTGGTGATATTTTTTAAATCAAAGATGATGTCTGGATTAATGGCTACAATGAGCACGTTTTGCAATGCACAGCTTTTCGAAGGGAGCTTTGAAGCAGGACACAGCGACTCTCAGCTCCTGTTCAATGTGTATCTGGGACCTGTGTTTTAGTTTACTGATGTAACCGTCACAAAGCGGCATGATTTTTGGCAATATTCGGCACGTTTTCGCTGAAAAAACTCAAGCACCTTATCAACGTGATTGGGGTGTAATGTCTTTGAGTGACGCCTTAATTTATTTGGCTTCATGCTGTCCACGACACAGTAAGCAGACCGATCTTTGCTCGTCTGCCACCGTAGTCACAGTGAAGCCAAGAGCTACATACCCCTCCATATCAGTGATGTGTTCCTCGAGCCATGATGAACGTTTACGGAACCCAAAATTAGTTATCGTGGTTTCCCATTGGGTAATCTGACGGAACCGAAAAACGGTTACCATGAATTTCCGAAATCCTCTGGCCTGCTCCTGAATTATTTAAAACACATATGTCAAAGTGCCGGCCCGCGGGCCAAATCCGGCCCGCGAGAATGTTTTCAGTGGCCCCTGGGATGATATTGATTTATTATTAGAACCGGCCCGCGG